CCACCTTAGGTGTACATGGCTGGCGCCTTAGCCGGTTGAGCCACAGGCGCCGAGCCATAGACACAATTTCTAAGAATATTTTTAAAATGCATGCAAAGAGGCTCAGCATCTGTAGCACAGTGGTTACAGGGCAAGCCACATGCACCAAGGCTGGCAGGTTCTAACCCGGCCAGGACCAGCTAAACAACAGTAACAACTGCAACAATAAATAGCTGGGCATTGTGGTGGGGCCTGTAGTTCCAGCTACTTGGGAAGCTGAAGCAAGAGAATCACTTAAGCCCAAGAGTTTGAGGTTGCTGTGAGCTGTGATGCCATAGCACTCTACTGAGGGCAACACAGTGAGACTGTCTCAAAAAATAAATAAATAAATAAATAAAATGCATGCAAAGAGACTGTAGGGCTAGAAGCAGTGGTTCACACCTATAATCCTACCACGTGGGAGGCGGAGGTGGGTGGATTGCCTGAGCTCACAGGCTCAAGACCAGCCTGAGCCAGAGTGAGACCTCATTTCAAAAAATAGCCAGGTGTGGGCGGTGCCTGTGGCTTAGTAAGTAGGGCACTGGCCCCATATACTGAGGGTGGCAGGTTCAAACCCAGCCCTGGCCAAACTGTAACAAAAAATAGCTGGGCATTGTGGTGGGCACCTGTAGTCCCAGCTACTTGGGAGGCTGATGTAAGAGAATCATCTAAGCCCAGGAGTGGGAGGTTGCTGTGAGCTATGATGCCATGCACTCTGCCAAGGGTGATAAAGTGAGACTCTGTCTCTAAAAAAAAATTTTTTTTAAATAAATAAATAAATATAAAATAAATGCAAGGACCCTTTTTTGAAATTCTCTCTGTGTCAACCCAGGCAAATTTTTACTTTACTTTTCTGCCTTGAAAACAACTGGCTATAAATAGAAGAATGAAAAAGAAAATGAAAAACAGTAAGAACCATAAACCTGACTGAGTACAGTGGCTCATGCCTATAACCCTAGCACTCTAGGAAGCCAAGGTGGATGGATTATCTGAGCTCAAGAGTTCAAAACGAGCCTGGGAAAGAGTTAGACTCCGTCACTAAAAAACAGAACAACTGGCTTGGCATCTGTGACTCAAGGGGCTAAAGTGCCAGCCACATACACCTGAGCTGGCAGGTTCAAATCCAGCCTGGGCCCACCAAACAACAATCACAACTACAACCAAACAATAGCTGGGTGTTGTGACAAGCTACTTGGGAGGCTGAGGCAAGAGAATTGCTTGAGCCCAGGAGTTGGGGGTTGCTATAAGCTGTGATGCCACTGCACTCTATACAGGGGATAGCTTGAGACTCTGTCTCAAAAAAAAAAAAAGGCTCGGCGCCTATAGCTCAACCG